TGTGTATTAAATCAGACAGCTATAATTAACCATTCAAATTATCATCACTTTTTTTTTCTGTATTTCTCTTATTAACAGTTACTAAACAACAATATCAGAAATCCGTAGCTCTCAGAAAGTGTGTTACCAGGAAACTCATCACTAATTGGCTGGCCTGATGAAGGAATGAAAAATAAAAACACAAAAAACCTGCTTTACTCTTCTTTTGCTGAGGCTTAAAGCTTTCAGTTTTCAAATCAAAATAAATCCTGTGAGTGAAAGCACGTAAACTTCTGTCTATTGAGTCTTCTGCCCACTGTGACTTCTTAGTTGGGAATGGACAGCAGGCCTCTTCTGGAACTGGGAAGCTATTACATCCCAAGCTGAAAACATTCTGTTAGCTACAGCTGCTGCCTGTTCTCAGATGCCCACGGCCACTGGAATTGCTCCCATTTGCAGAGGTTTGAGTCTTTAGTTGCCAGAGCAGATAAAAAGATATAAACCTAATTTAGCTCAATAAACATAATTTAGAGAGAAATATAAAGAGCACACACTTCCAGCATACCTCTCCAATAGCACATGGTTTGCCTCCCCTAACCATCCCAGGCTGTGGGCTATAGATAGAAGGCATTGCCAAGTAAGGACAGCTCAGAACCACCCACATCACCACTAACATCCATTCTATGTGCAAAGGATTATTAATGTTTATACTGTGTTCCTGGTCTTAGATACCTTTTCTGTCTCCAGGTGATTCTTCCTTGTTACTTGGATATATCCTCTAGGAAAATCCAGAGAAATTACTTTTTCTGCCTTGAAGATGAGCTTTTTTATTTTAAAATTGTTACTGTATTCATTTAAGTTGAACTTTTATATAGTTTTTATTATGAAAACATTGGTTTACAATACTGTATATGATTTAGAATAATAGAATCCCAGTTTTTCTGGTATATATTACCACATTGATATTGGGTAGGACTAGGAGCATCCGGGGAACCCCAAACTAGTATGCTCTAAATGGTTTATTCCATTTGCCATATCAAGACAAAACATATTCTTAGTACTTAAGATCTTTGGTAGAAACAAACTTTAATAGAATTACAGTGCAATAGAAAGAAGATAATAGTTTCCAATTAGACACCAAAAGTTACCCATTCCTTTGTAGATATATACTCAGCCAAACAAGGTTGTCTCAAAGTGGTGGCCACTGAGATCTGTAAGCTTGTCACAGTCTAAGGCACCTTCTGGTGGGCACCCATGAGAAAGTGGTAGAAGAAGCCACTTTTTCTGGAAGGAAAAAAGCAAAATCAAAATAAAGATAATGGCTGCTATTGTCAGCCTACCCACCAGTCTCTCACATACATCTCTGTCTTTTTCAAGTGTCTCCTTTCGTGTCCCCCAGGTCCCTGTTACAAATCCCAAGGCCAGGAAGCAACATGGTTTTTTTCACATGTCTTCTCAAGTTTTTCTCTCTGCAGCCTTCTTTCTCAAGCCCTTTTTAAGCTTCCCCTTGCTGCTTAGCTCCATTCCTCCTCAGGTAGGGCAGGGAAACTCAAAGTTTCTCATTTCAGGATTATACTGTTACAAAACTGTACCCATCACAAGATGCTCATAGTGGCCCATTATATTTCACTGTGAACTTGCCCTTTCCCCCTCCACTCTCCCCTTCTCCCTTGGGTAGCATCAAGTCTTACTGTCATATTTCTAGGGCTTGGTTTTGGTTTGGTGCTGTCTGACTTAGTTTCTCACTTGAAGGAAAGCATCAGATATGTGTATTTCTCTTTGTGGAATATTTTGCTTAGTATTATACCCTCCAGCTGCATTCCTGTTGTTACAATTGGCAAGAGTTCATCTTATTTTACAGCCGAGTAGTGTGTGTATATGTGTGTGAGTGTACCTGTGAATATATAAATGTATGTGTGTGTGTGTGTATGCCACATCTTTTTAATACACTCATCTGTCCTTAGGCATTAAGTCTTTTCCCATAAATTGGCTATTAATAAGTAGTACTTCAGTGAACTTAGGAGTACCTGGGAGAACATTTAGCACATGTAGAGCAAAAATGTTTTTGTATTCTTTGGGTAGATATTTAGGAGTGAACTTGATGGTCTTGTATTAGATCTATTTTTAATGTTTTGAGAAATGTCCATACTGTTTTTCAGAGGCTGGAATTTTCTGGGTAAGATTTCCTTGCTTGAGTTTCCCCCCCACCTTTTTTCCCTCTCACTGTGATAAAAGAATTTCTGCATAACTTTAAGCAATTTACATGGGTTAGGGAGCCATCAGCCTAATTGGAGTCTAATTAAGACCTATTAAGTCTTCGTTAATAAAAAAATATTTATTTCTGGGTTAGAAGTGGGAATGTCTCATCACGGAGGAAAGGGATTCCAAATGACCAACAAATGATGGATCCAAAAGAAAGTGGACTATCAATTAACATGGAATATTACTCAGTCATAAAAAGGAAAAAAAACACTGACACTGATAATACATGAATGAACTTTGAGATTATTATGCTAAGTAAATAATAGATCATCAGAAGATACATGTATTATTAATTTATGTGAAACATTCAGAGTAGGGAAATCTATAAAGACAAGTTTTAGTGGTCAAAATTCCCTAAGGAAAAATGGATAACCACAGCACATACTAGGATCATCAGTTTGGCAGAGTGGGATAAGAAAAACTTCAGCTCAACTTTGTTTAGAGTGTTCAGCTGAACTTTGTTTACAGCTTAAAAAATGCAATTGAGGGCTTCAATAACATAAACAATGGAGAGAACTAGTGGATGTGAAAACACAATGTTGGAAGAACACAAGAGTAAAATAATGTAGAGAGAAAAAATTAAAAAAAAAATGACATGCAAGTCCCCTCTGGACAACTTAAAAATAAATAACATTACAAGCATGAATGGGCTAGAAAGAGATAATTAAGATATTTAAGGAAAAATATTTTCAACCTAGAATCCTTTACCTAGCACAAGAATAACATTCAAGACAGATGAAAGAGTAAGGAGCTTCCTGAAACAGCTAAAACATTAATACCAGGTCTCACAAAGAATTCTTATGCAATACATAATATAATAACAACACAATAATACTAGAGGGCATTAATACCCCACTTACAACAATGAACAGATTAACAAGATTAACAAGACAAACACAACATTGGCCGTAAATGAGGATAGAGACCAAATAGGTCTAACAGACATCTACAGAACATGCCACAAACAGATGAAAACAAAACAAAATAACAAAACACTGTATACACTTCTTTTATTTTCAAGTGTAAATGCAACATTTTCAAGAACTAAATGCATTCTTTTTCAGTTATATACTAATTTGCAAAGTTTTGTAAGAGTACTTATCATATTGAGGCCTTTTAATTAATATATATCTCAACACCATATTTACCTTAGTAAACATGTCTTCATTCTACAGGTGTTCAAAAGTGTTAGCTGAGTGAATGAATGAGAGAAATCTAGTTAGAAGAGGAGCAGTGACAGAACTTTAGTGTTGTAACAGAAAGGGCTAAAGACAAGATGGGTAGGAAGATGGGGACACAGAGAAGTTGCTGGCACAGTGCTAGGAGAGAGAATGAGAAAAAGAAGTTCAGGGCCCTCCCTGGTGGCGCAGCGGGTTAAAGCACTGCACTGAGAAACTAAAGCCACTTTTGCATGAGTTCGATTCCCACCTGCCCCGGAGGTGACCACATGGCGTGGCAGACCTCTCCTGACCCGCCCACTGCTCCCCTCAGCAGTGTACTTCATGGATCTGCCTGTTCTGCTCCCCACTCTGTCTCTGGTGAAGCCTCTTGCCACCCCTGAGCCTCTGGCCTGTACCCCAGTTCTGTATGCACAAATCTTTAAAAAAAAAAAAAAAGAAAAAAAGAAAAAAAAGAAGTTCGTTGAAAGGAAACCAAGATAAGAAAGAAAAAATTGAGCATTAAATGAACCTGAATGCTGAGAAAATGCACCTGCTAAGTTTTTTGGATGTGAGTTTCCTTTTCCTTACTAACAGCTATCCACAGTGTCTTTTTAATACCCTGCCCCTTGAGGAACAGAATTTTTTTCTGAGGGAGTCTCCCTAAATAACTAAGTAAATAAATAAATGTGAATTGCGTGGTTAAAATGAAAAATATGCATTGAGTTGATTCTAATTTTGCCACTCATTAAGGACTGCCATATTTTAATAATTTCTGAGAAAACAGTTCCCTAAGTATATTACTACTTAGCAAGTCCAATCCTTAGGGCTAGCAGAGTTTGTTTTTCCAACTGTTGATACCACTAATCCATCTAAAAAGGTGTACTGGGATAAAACATTTGGTGTGAGTGGTGAGATAAAATTGAGTAACATTTTGAAGGTGAGCAGTATTTTTACAGTGGTGTCACTTTACCTCACCCAGATTGTCCTGCTGAGAGTTTCATCCTTACAACTTCCTTATTAGTGCTAGTGTTTATAGTTTCCTTCCTCTTTCCTCACCCAGTTATAACCTAGTATTACAAGAACAGGCATGTAAATGGAATGCTGGTTATAAGATCTAGTTCAATATTCTTAACTTTCCTTAGTTGGAAGAATAAATGAAGTCAACACTAACATAAGTAGAACATTTTTGTAAAAATAAAATTTCTATTTTCCTCCACTATAGTAAATAAAACATGGTAAAACAAAACAAAAAAACAGTTATGTGGGCTAACAAAATTACCAAGAACTTCACTTAGAAAGGCAGATCATTCTAATTTGCCCCCTTGTCATTATTGCAGGGTTTAAACAATGTAAACCTTGTCATAAGAAACAAGTTGTGTATAAATGCCTATTCTTATTTCTGGTGCTAACTGGTCCTGTCTGGAGGTAGCTAACCAGTCAGTCAGGATCGCAATGCTGAGCTAGCTGCAAAGAGCGAACAGCAGCTCTTACTCCCACGGTATAGCCCAATGTATGCTTCAGCAGTCCTGTCCGCGAGCCTCCTTGCTGCCCAACGGCCTCCAACTACCTTGTCTTTGCTTGCTGTGCGCTGGCCCAACTATGTTTCTTCTCTTTGCTCTGCTCACTGAGCTTGGAAGTTTGCAAGCCCACCTTGGTGAGTACCCGGGAACCTCCACATCCTTCTCCTGATATCTCTCAGCTGATCTCTTGGTGGAGACCAATTTCCATAGCTCTGACACCCCGGGTCTCCTTTTCACATACCCCAGAGAAACCTCCCCTTGTGTCGCTTCTATCCTAGACCAGGGTGTCTGAAGGTGTTAGCCAAGAAATCTTCTCTCAGCCTTAGGGGTCCAGGGACTCAACTTGGGCGCCCGCTCTTTGGGGTGGGGGATGGGGTGTATGGTACTCTCAGAGTTCTGAAGGAAACAGGACCCAACATGGTTCTGAAAATGAACAGGATGGTCCTATTAAGCTGAAACGTCTATTTTGGGGGCTTGTTTGTATCTTAGCTCTTCTCAGTTTGGCACTAACGAAAGTTCTGGGCCACGAAGGAAGTTGGGCACACATACATAAGTTTTCAAACAACTTTAGACCCATGGGCTCAGAGTATTCAAGCATGGTAATTCAGGTATTTATTTTTGTAATCTAAGCAAAAATATTTTCTTCCTGTAGATGCTAAAGGAATATTTCTGCATGTCACCATTCCACAGAAGATAAGGTTTAATGAGAGTGAAGATTCAGAGAAACAAGTAAATGATAACAGATATATGCTTTATTATTTAAAAATTTCATACTTTTATTTACTGTTGTACTCAGATCATACTGAATTGTAGTCATTCTCAAAACAAAATAATTTCACTGGGCTATTTTGTCTTTTTATAAATTTGATTCTCTTTTTCCAACACATCTGTTTACTTCTGTCCCCTTCCCTACATCTTTGCATATCTTTTGAGGTACTTGTTTACAGTTTTCAAGGAATAATAAGCACTTTTCAGGAACCATAAATGTATAAAAAATTAATGTGATAAAAGTGTAATGATGAGATAGACTTCAATTTATAAAAATATTATTGACAATTAAGTGACAGAAACTGGTGTAGAAAAAAATTATACCTAAAGGGAAAAAGAAGAAAGGCGAGTAAAAATATCATATATGTCTGATTATGGTGAAAAAGATTACAATAGGTAAATATTAACTGGAAAACAAGTGGAAAACGATATGAAAACTGATATAGTTGAACTGATTAAGTTGAAGTCATATAAAAACTGATTAAGTTGAAGTCATTCAGATTTGAGAATTTTCTTGATCAAAATAAATAGCATGGTTATGTTTTATATTATAAATCTGAAGTCACAATACAGTGTCCTTAAAATGGCAGCGGTCAGTGTATGATAATACTGAGAACATTTTTACAGATTGAAGGAATAATTTTGGAAATAAGAATAAGTAAAAACATTAAGAATCCATTAACTCTGTTTTGCATATACTATTGGAACTTACAATGATTACGTTCTTTTTGTGAACAACTTTAATAAAATATACTATGAGGTTAATTGCACTGTGGAATTAAATAAATATATTATGAATAGACTGTGAAATTGTATTTAAAAATCACAATAAAATAATTTCCTTTAGAGAACTTGTACAGACTTTACATCTACTAACCTCTGTATTTTTCATGGAGTGATACATTTCAAAGTCTCTCTTAATCTGTATCACTCTTATAAAATCATGTTTTTCATGTACGAAATAACAATTATAATTTTATAAATACGTAGCAGAATAACAGTTTCTGGAAGCATTCTAAAAATTTGTGCCACGGGCAGTGAGATGAGAGTGCTCATTTCATCCCAGCATTTAATATTCAAGTTTTTATAATTTGGTTTGATTGGTGAAAGGTGGCATGATACAGCTCTTTACCTTGTATTTCAGTTATGTGCGTGAACATATTTTGTGCACATGAATATTAATTGCCTGCATTTCTTCTTTTGAAAAAAAGGGAGGGAAGCAAAGTTGGAAAGAGATAATCTACAAAAGAATATGTTCTTTTTTTTTTTTTAAATAAGTGGCTACCTTAAAAAAATTTTTTTTTAATTAATTTTTTTTTTATTTTAAAGATTTATTTATTTGTGCATACAGAACTGGGGTACAGGCCAGAGGCTCAGGGGCGGTGAGAGGCTTCACCAGAGACAGAGTGGGGAGCAGAACAGGCAGATCGACGAAGTACACTGCTGAGGGGAGCAGCGGGCGGGCTAGGAGAGGTCTGCCATGCCATGTGGTCACCTCCAGGGCAGGCGGGAATCGAACTCATGCGGAAGCGGCTTTAGATTCTCAGTGCTGTGCTTTAACCCGCTGCGCCACCAGGGAGGGCCAGAATATGTTCTTTTTAAAAAATGTATATTTTTTTGGTTTGAGTAAAATAAAGCTGTTTTACTTTATATAGTTATATATTTGCTTATGAATACTATAATATTTAAATTATGATACATATTTGCTAAATCATATTTTTGCTCTATTTTAGATGATTTATAGCATCACAGTTGATGAAAAACAATACATTCTGCATCTCAAAAAGCAGTAAGAGACTTTACTTTTTTAAATTTTAGAATTTTTTAAAATGTTTTAATTCAACAATTCAATATATCAAAGATCAATCAATTCATTTTTCAGTGTGGGATTCAATAGGGCTTGAATATTAGACCTCTTACATGATATATTATAATTATTCAGCTTATTTTCAAGTTAAGGAATAAGACATGAATATTCAAATCTCCAATTGAAAATAAAACAGACCCAAGACCTGCAAGTTGTATATTTGATTTATCTTATATGAAATCAGACATATTTGTATATCAAGTTATTGGTGGGAAATTCACCTAGTGGCATACATTTTATTGATGTAACACTTGTTAGATATTGATTGATATAATACTAAAGTATCTACTTATTTGTAGCAACTTTGCTGGATGAATTCTGTATATCATGAAACTCATTTTATTGTATCAACTGATAATTTTTAATAACTTCATACATTCTTGAAACCATCAACCATAAGTCAGTGTTAAACCATTTCACTGTATAATATATACAAAATATATATTATCATATACATTATATATTATATGTGTGTATACATACACATACACACACACACACACACATCTTTTTTATCCATTCATCTTTTTTATCCATTCATTGTTTTGGAACAACCAGTGTAAGATTGAAAATGGACTAGTATGGCTTTGAAAATGGAGCAATTTGATTGGCACTTGAACAGCACCAATCAAATAGTGGGAATTGGAAACCTATTGGTTCCCAGTGTTCAGTTCCACACAAAAAACATATATCTGTGCCATTTGCAGCAACATGGGTAGAACTGGGAGGGATTACGTTAAGTAACATAAGGCAGAAGGAGAAAGATGAATACTGGATAGTTTCACTTACATACAGAATAGATATAGAAACTGAAGGGCCAGGAAAAAGAACAATTTGCAAGCTGATTATAGATCTGAGGTGTAGCAGGGGAGGGGGAGGACAGGGGTCAAAACGGAGGGAAGAGCACAAAGGACTATGGTGATGGCTCACGGAAGCTACAGGGACTCTATATGAGGGGAGAAATCAAATACTGTCCAAATATTAGCAATGAGTTAAAAAAATAAATATAAAAATTAAATATATATAAAAAAATTAAACTGCACCAGTGTATCTGACCTGACCTATATTGTGGTTGGGCTTGAAAACTGAATAAGAGGAGACCTTTTGGCGCTTGTATAAACTTGAGCCTGATTAGACCATTTAGAATCCTGGAGCCAGGTTTAAAATAGAAAAGCCCAGCCCCTGCCCAGACTGGACCTGCATTGAGGTCAGGTCAGGGCTCCAAGGAACCATGGCCAGAGCTGGCCTCAGTGTGACTGAAGGTAAACTGTGTCTGGCGCCCCTCAGAGTGGGTAGGCTTAACAATTTAGGGGCCCCTACTTCATCTGTATACCCAAAACATTTTTCTATTATTTGCATTTTCTGCTAACTTGGATAAAGTTTCCTTGTAAATCTACGCCTTTTTTTCAGTTCTTTAATCATCTATTCAGTGAAACTTTATATGAGATCTTATATATACATTGCGACCAAACTCTCAGAACCTTGCTTATCATTTAACATGAGGGCATTATGTATTCCTCACTGTTGTGAGGACCAGTGGTTTGTCTATTTGTTTACTGTTATGTACCTATATGATGATCTGTAGATAGTAGCTAGTATATATCTGTTGATTAAAGACATATACAGGGGCCCTCCCTGGTGGTGCAGGTGGTTAAAGCACAGCACTAAGAAGTTAAAGCCACTTCAACATGAGTTCAACCCCCGCCCCAGAGGAGACCCACATGGCGCGGCAGACTCCTCCTGACCCACCCTCTGCTCCCCTCAGCAGTGTACTTCCTTAGTCTGCTTGTTCTGTCCCTCACTCTGTCTGTAGTGAATCTTCTCACTACCCCTGCACCTTTGGCCTGTATCCCAGCTCTGTATGCATAAATAAATAAATCTTAAAAAAATATATATATGATATAGAACACATATACACCTATCTAATATAGAACAATCAAAGTCTATTCTAGCATAAAAATAGCCTGAATTCTGACACTTAAATTGTTATATTATATTAAAATTACTCTAATTAGATTGTGTTATTATATAAATCCTATCTATTTAATATTTTACAATTTTCATGTTTGTATTTATATTAAATTTGATCAATTTGTTATTTTTTGTGTTTTTTTTAGCTCATTCTTATCCCAGAGATTTTTGGTTTATACATATAATGCAAATGGATTTCATTCTGATTCTTCATACATTAAGGTAAGATTCAGATGCTTCAAGCATTTGCTACATATGTTTCTTTACTGAAAGGGACATATAAGATCCTTTGGGATATTTAGTGAATTTATTTTACTTTATGTAACTGTGCCCTGTTATATGGTTGACTATTTTGCATAGATTAGTATGTGGTAGAGATGAAACCCAGGCTAAAAGGGATTCATGAGCACCCAAGTGGTACAAAATAAAGTGAGTTGTTAAAAGCTTTTTCCCTGAAAATCTACATCAATAAGTCTGTAGAATACCTAACTATATTATGTTCAACTCTTAATATTTTGATCTTTCTCTAATATTTAACAATGCACATTTTATTTGTAAATTAATTACTTGTCTTTCTACACTGTGTTTCAGATGCACTGCAATTACCAAGGGTATGTTGCAAGTTTTCCAAATTCAGTTGCAACACTCAGCATCTGTTCTGGACTCAGGTAGTAGCATCTCAGAGGGCTACTTATACATGGAAAACAGGACATACTTCAAAGTGAACCTGGGAAAGTTTAGGTGAACTTTTAGGTGAAAATTTATGATAACCTTCATTTTTTTTTTTAATATTTGGCTTAGTAATTGGACCTAAGTGCCAATAAAGAAAATCATTCCAGAGGATCCTGACTGAAGCCATGTTCAAAAAGTTTGTGCAGAGGAGGAAAGTTTCCATAAAAGAAACTTCATAAATATTCATAAATGTTAAGCTTGTATTATCTATTAGTTATCTCAAATAAATAGTTATGGAAAATGGCATTAATTACTTAAACAATAGCCATATATTGTATGCTTTCAGCCTAGATGCACAAAAAAAAGTATCAGATATAAATACTAAAAAGTTTTCCATAAGGATAAAGGGTCAGGAATAAATGGTTTTCATCATCGATGTTGAATGGAAAAGAATTGGTAAGTTTATCAGAGGTCAGTGGGTCTAGAAGAACAAAATGAGACTCTTCCTCTTCCTTGCTTCTGGTTATCTGATTTACAGAATTTACTCATGTCAACTCAAAAATGTCATGGTATCTGAGTGTGGTTTTTAATAGACACCAATCTCTTCAGATGTCTACTCTGCATAGCTGCCTTCCTTTATTCTAACAACTGTAGTAGGAATTCTATTCTTGGGATTCTCCACAAGAAATATCTTGTTCCAAGCAAACACATGGCCTTAATAAACATATTTTTAATGAATGTAAGTACTATACTGAAATTACAAAATGTCTTTCATTATGTCAATTCATCAAAATGATAGCAAAACTAATGCAGAATTGGTGACTAAGTTACTGACAAAGCAAATAGGAACCTTCTTCCTGTTTTATTCGTTGTCTTGAATATATTATTTCTTACTGATGTAATGTTGGTCTATAACATTGTATGTGACGTAATGGAGTCAGTTCATGCCTCTTCAGATGTATATTGCCACAGTACACACATCACCAAAGCACCCAGAGTCTACCACCACAGTCCACTGGGTCACTTCCCTACATTTGCTCCTCAACCCCCATCATTCCTATTTGGTGTATTCAGTTCTATAGCCAGGTTGGTAGGGTTTGTTTTTGCCTCGTTTTCTCTGTTCCTGTGTTTTGTTTGTAGCTATATATTGGATCTGTTTTCAAGTGGTATAGACTTATGGGTGTCATAAAAGGAAGAAATAGGAGGATCTTGTGTTCTTCAAACTCGTGCATATGCAATGTTTTTTATTTCAACAGAGGTCTTCCCTCCATGTTCAAACCCTCCATAACTCCATCTCTGCTCTCCCCAGCTTACTTGATGACCAAAGAACACCGTCACACAGTGCAGTAGCTATAGCAGCCCAATTAGGCAAAAACACAGATCTTGCAAAAAAAGTAGAGCAGTTGGGACTTCTATGTAATGTTGGTGAGAATGTAAAATGGTGTCACCACTTTGGAAAACAGTTTGGCAGATTCTTAAAAATAAATGTGTGTGTGTGTGCATGTGTATATACCTGTCATGCCATCCTACCACTCCACTCCTAGGTGTTTTCCCAGGAGAAATAAAGCATATGTCCATACAAAGACATGAATACCATATAATGTTCATGTGAATATTCATAAAGGCTTAACTTGTGATTACTCCTGAAAGTGAACCAAATACCCACTAACAAGTAAATGGATAAATTGATATATACTCAATCTATGGAATATACTTTATCAGTGAAAAGGAGCTATCTGTAAACACAACAACATGGATAAATTTCAATAATTATGACAGGCCAAAGAAGGAGTACATATAGTATCATTCTGTTTATAAAAATTTCTAGGATATGCAAATTAATCTATAGTAATGGAAGACAGTTAAGTTGTTTTTATTGGGGTGGAGCTTGGCAAGAAAGATTATAAAGAGCACCGGGAAATTTGGAGGAGCCTAATTTTCTAGTGTCCATGATAGAACAGCATAGGTTGGCTGACTTACCCAGCAGTTTAATGGGGTGGTGATCTGTTTTGTTGTGATAGTGAATTGATGGTGGTTATAGTTACAACGCTTGTCAAATCATACACTTTTAATATATCTAAACTTTTTGTATGTCAATTTTACTTTAATAAAGCAATAGATAGAGGAAATGCTTTAAAACATGTCCTTTCTCTGATTCCTCAAGTCTCATGACATTTCAGAATAAAACTCTGGAGGGACCATTTGTAGGCATTTTCTATTGTTTTCTAAACACTCAGGGGATTCCTTCAGTTTGAGAATATCAGTTATGGAATTGAACCACTGCACTCCTCAGCAAGATTTGAGCATATAATTTATCAAATGAAAAATGACAATGCAGAGATACCAACATTAGCAGAAAATCACAGCAATATTTGGAAGAAAGATCAGCCCTCTAAAGAGCTATTAAATTCACAGGTAACTGTGATGATTCTCATGTTGTGATTTATTGGGAAATTACTTCTGTAGAATTTTGTTAATCATGACAAAAGTACTAAGCTTTCAGTAGATATATTGAAATTGATATCCTTCTATATTTTTAAATAGCCAGCATCCCAATCCACTTAAAATATGTGCAAAAATAATTATTTCAAGTTTATATTTGCAATGTATAATGTAACATTTCTTATCTTCTACTTTATTCAACCAAAAATGTGTTCTATAGAATATACTTTACAAATACAAGCAGAACAGAGTCACATTAATTACCACTATACTGGGGAAATTTAATATTTTGATACATGGCTTTACATAATACTGGAACAAATCTTTTGAAAATAACCATTTATAGATTATTAAACTACCTTTATTTACCTTTAGGTATGATATAAAATTAAATCTAGGTTGACAGACTTTCTTTCATTATTATGAATATTTTAATATTTTCTGGCTGCTGATAAAATGATTATTCTTATTGCAAATTCCATATACATGAAGGGTCATTTGTCAGTTGCTTCTTTCAGCTTCCTCCCTTTGTCTTTGCTGGAATATCTTTTTATATGCTCTTTTGAGGGTTTTTCTTAAAGTTTATCCTACTTGGACTGCATTGAAATTTTTGGATATGTAAATTTGTAGTATTCATCAAATTGTAGAAATTTTGACTTGTATTTCTGAATAGTCTTTCTGTCCTTTTACCTCTCCCCTAAATTTCCAGTAAATATTATATAGAACCTCTCAGGCAAGTTTGAAGAGCAAACTAGGTCAAATAATGACATTTTTCCTGGAAATACAATTTTGATGACCTGTAGCATGATTACTCTTTTTTTTTTTTTTTTTTTTGTGTTACAATTGTGATTCTAGGTATGTATTAAGAAACTCCTAAAAGTGAAAAAAAATCAGAAAGGACATAGAGATAAATAAATCTTTAATAACAATAAAAAAGAAACTTTTTTTTTTTTTTTTTTTTTTTTTTTGGAGATTGCATTTTTGCCCAGCTTATCACAAAGACAAAGACAGTTAGTTTTCAGGTAATGAAAAAAGGGGAAAAGGCAGATTCAGATCCAATAAAGATAAATATTCACTGGTTATTTTTCTTAATCTCTACCATGCTGAAAGTAGTTGGTTATATTATAGAACTCTGAACAAGTTAACTCTAATAATTTTTTTTTATTAGTTCTCTTGTGTGTAGTGCAGAAGTGAATTTTTGAAGGTTCTCAGTCTGATTTTCACTGGTATGATTCCATTTAATGAAATAATAAATAACATGTATCTACTATGTTTTGATATAAAATGGTTTTGAATTTCCCTTTATTCTCCATTGACTCATGGGAAAATTAGAGATGTGCATTTAGGTGATGCTAAATATTGTTTTCAGATTATTCATTGAGTTTATCATGATCATGTGGTATATTTGACTTCAGTATTTATGTTTTTCTGTATAATATGTAATTGTTTTGGATAGCATTATTATATGTGTGTATCAAGTCAAATATTTTTGTATTCTTCAGAATTTCTTTTTTTCTTGTAGGAAATTTTAGTTTATATCATCATACTATTCACCTGTGGAACTTCTCAAAGTTTTATTCTACATTTTTTATTTTTATGCAATGTCATTCCCCTTTTTAAATAAAATTTTATTAATTCACCATAAGTTTATAATATATGAATTTGGGAGCTACATGTGTGCTTGTTTTACCATAAACACTAATAAAATTCTGAAACAGATAAAAATACATGGATCATCAGTAGTCTTCTAAGTGTTCATGAAAAGTATTACTAGCATTTTTTTTCCTTTTTTACATGCCAATTTTTATGATTAACAAATTCATTATATGTTAACATTTGATAAATCCTTTTTTTTTTTTTTTGGCAGAAGACAACTTTTTCCAAACTATTTTCCCAAAATCTAGAAATGCACATTATAGTGGAAAAAGCTTTGGTAAGCCAAACTTTCTCCTTTCTTGCTTCTCTCTTTCCCTGTTTTCTTTGAAAGCTTTCCCTTTAGGGTCTCCCTGTTGACTTATGGATTAAGTCTCAGAGCTATTACCACAGCTCAGAAGATGTTTCCTACCTAGCCAGCTGCTCCCCTCAGCGGTGTATTTCAGAAAATCTACCTGTTCTGCTCCCCACTCTGTCACTGGTGAATTCTCTTACCCCTGATACCTTTAGCCTACATCCCAGTTCTTAACAAAAATAAATTTAAAAAAATTTTAAAAATGAAAAAATTCCCTTAAATGTAAAGGCATTACAATTTTTAAAACATTATTTGCAAATGCATGTATTATCTGTTATTCCACTGTGGCTAAATATCTAAACTGATACATTGTCCTACATACTCTACCTCACAGTTCATTCCCAGTTAGTTCAGAGTCATCTTAAACTCACTTTTAAACACATTGCTTTTTCCTAATTTAACCAATCTGTTTGCCATATATTTAAGATATACCAGTTATTCATCATTATATGAAGCCAGTTAATATTTTTCCATTGTTACAGTGTCAAAGAACAGTTGTGTCCAGTAAGTTCCCAAATATGAGTTCCACATCTTGTCAAGAATAACCATTTCACCTTTATTTCACCTTTCACCTTTACTTATTTTATTTTATGTCATTCTTTATCAACCCTTTTGGAATTTATTCCACAAATTTTCACTACCTATCACAGTGAATTCTCTTTTATCTAAGTATATTTGAACTTTCTGTATTTGCTTTTTTAATTTATTAAACATACAATGAGAAAGACTGTGGTTGCCTGAATGTTATGGAAGCTTTCTGGATCAAGAAACCCTTTCAATATAGGGAGGAATCTGTGATGTTATTTCAGAATACTTTTGATGATTTCAATTGTGTCTATTTGATGCCATTTTTAAAATTCAACTGAGACTCTATTTTTAATTCCTAAATATGCTTACTTTTTATTTCTTTGCTTTTAGTTACTGTAAATATTGTAATCTTTATATTAGCATATGTCCAATGTTTTGACAAAACATATTTTTCTAGCTGGTATAATAAAAATTTATTCACTGTCCCCCTACCACCAATATCATGAGCCACATTTTAACAATAATTATAAAAATATGTTTTTCAGTATGATTATATGGGATCAGAAATGATAGCTGTAACACAGAAAATTATCCAGATTATTGGACTTGTCAACACTGTAAGTTTTAAGTTTTTCATTATTGCAAATTTTGGAAAATCATTGAAATTAATTTGCATTGTTTTATGACAAATTAATGATTGAAAGACTTTTTAGTGGTTTAATATACACCTTTTCAACTGAACTTTTAATTTTGCATGTGTTATCTTAATGTAATTAAATTACTTCTGTAAATATGCAATAAATATTATTTTTAGATGTTTACTCAATTCAAATTAACTGTGAAACTGTCATCCTTGGAATTGTGGTCAGATAAAAATCAAATTTCTACCAATGGAAGTGCTGATGATTTATTAGAAAAATTTTTGGCATGGAAGGAAGACGCTTTAATGCTACGGCCCCATGATATAACATTCTTACTCACGTAAGCACAACTTCTATGTTAATAAAGAAATATATATTTTTATATAAGTAACTTATTATTTTGATCACTTAATGCATTTATTGTGTTCTTCAACTTTACAGGCCCTTTGTAATATTAAAGGAAAACTGTTAGCATAGGGGTTAGAAACTTGATGAAGATAAAAATGACATTAGTTATATCACCACATATTTTGGAGTATTATTTTGTGAAAAGATCTGCTTTTGCCTGAGCATTACTCAGTGTACTACAAGATAGATGCAAAGCTTAGCTTATTAATCATGTGGAAATTGACACCATTCAGTTAACATTTCCTAAAATACATATTGTATGATTGCCATTTGACTCAGAGGGAATTTTTTTTTTGTAAGTATTCTTATGAATTAAAGTGAACTACAGTCCTCAATGACTTGAATAAATGTTATCCAGATCAAAGATTTTATGTTTCAAAAAAATGAGCTTTTTAAAAAAATCTAATTTAATAAATAATTAAGTTGTTCTGAATAATTATGCTAACAAAAATAATTATACTATATGATGTAGTTACAGGAAACATCCTAAATACATAGGAGCAACATTGCCTGCCACAATTTGCAATAAAAGCTATAATGCAGGTGTTGCTATGGTATGTAATTTTTTATGTAATTTTTATCTTTACAACATTATAGTTCTAAACTTTATATTTTGTAAGTATTATAAGTAGTGATTTTTATTTTTGAAGTATATATGCTGAATTGATATTTGTTAATTGGATATATTGAATTAATGAGAAAGTTAAATAAATATTATACATCAATTGTATCAGATTCTAACCATGTTTAAAGCTATAGAATTTGGGCATGCTGAATTTTAAAACAGAAAACCTGAGTAGTTTGATTACTTTTGATTTTTTCTTGTTTTCCTTAATTAACTAGCATGAATATTTAGTATATATCAATTAACCAGTATGAATATTTATGATATATCAATGACACATCAAAATAAATCAATATAAAATAATGCTCGACCTAAAACTATCAAAATATAAAATGAAATTATATAAACTATATAATCTTGTAAAATATTTTAATGTATTACTTGTTTTGCTTTCTTGTTATATAATGATATTGTCTTTAATCTTCTTTATTTTAGTATCCAGATACAATAAATTTGGAGGGATATTCTGTTATTATAGCTCAACTGCTTGGCCTTAAATTAGGATTAACATATGATGACATCTATAAATGTTCTTGTCCAAGAGATATATGCATAATGAATCATGAAGCAGTGTAAGACTCCTTTTTTTAAAAAATATAACATATGATGAGTTTTTATGCTTTTATGTTCAAATTCATATCAAAGAAAGAAAAATAATTCTTGAAGATAGGATTCTACCATTATAAATAGAGAGAATCACTATACAATTAGAACAACATAAAAAATGCATAATGATAACCGATTTAGATTAAAAACAGCAATATATAGATACTGGTACCCAGAAAATTGA